AAAACGACGTCGTTTTGAATCTGTCTTTTTTTCTTTTTTTTTTTTTTTTTAAATGACTTTTAAGTGAATAAACAAAAGTGACCTAAAAGGAGACTTCTTCATCTTCTCATTTCAGAACAGCAGCGGCACAAACAGCAGCGGCACAAACAGGTATGTTTTCTCTCCCTCTCTCCCTCTCCATCTCCTTCTCTTTCTCCCTCTCACTCTCACTCTCTCACACTGTCTCATCTTCCTCTCTTTCTTCTTTATCATCAATTTCATTCTCTTGTTCGGTATGACAGAACACAACACAACATTGATATTGGGACTAATTTTTCCCTCACTCTCTCACACTCTCTCATCTTCCTCTTTTTCTTCTTTGTCATCAATCTAATTTTTCGGACTGATATTCTGATTTTTCGGACTGATATTGTGATTTTCGGGACTGACATATTTTGATTTTGGAACTGATTTTTGGGACTGGTATATTTTGAATTTCGGACTGATTTTGGAACTGATTTTTTGGATTTTGGGATTGATATTCTGATTTTGTATTTTTTGGGGACTGATACTATAATTTTGGGACTGATTTTGGGGCTGATATTTTGATTTTGGGACTGATTTTGGAACACAGGACAACACTTCGTTGTTTGTTTGTTGTTGTTGTTCATTATCAAAGGCTCATAGACAACACTTCGTTGTTCATTTTGATTTTGCGACTGATTTGGGTTCAAAATTATGTTTTTTTCTTTATAGATTTATTGTCCTAAAATAATATTCACTAATCAAAAATTTGTTATGAATGTGGTATTTGTAACGCCCTCAAAATAAACCCATTATATATATATCATTGGCATGCAATATTAAAAGAAACCAATTCATTATCTCATCCATCAGAGTATTACAAAAAGAAAACATTACATGTAATATCAAATTAAATGCCCTATGGGCTTACATCTTTCCAAGCCAACACCTGGACACAAAAATATGAGTTCTAACTCAAATACAAATAAAGCCCTAGGCTTGAATGTTTATCAAATAAAAACAAATAACTAAAGATAGTCTTCAAAATCCAAATCCTTCCAAGCTAAGTCCTTGGAGGTAGCTTATCACCTGGACCTGAAAATGATGTTCCCATAAAGGGTGAGCCACAGCCCAGTAGAAATATACTAAACCAAATATAAGCAGTGATTAAAGCAATAGCATTCAATAGATGGTTAACCAAGATAATCAATTACATCATTATCAATATGGCTCAGAACCTGGCCAAACTTACAAAAATTTATATTGAGTTGAAGACTGAAAACAGGCCGTTTGATGCTAAATTCACAAAATTGCTACATCATCATGACACATTACCTAACCAAACTACTAAATTCACAAAACTACTATTGGCAATAAGGCTGTGTTTTTCTTTTTTTTTCTTTTTGAATTGGGGCAATAAGGCTATGTGATTGTTGGTTTTGCGAGTGGAATTGGATCCATAGTAAATTTAATACACATTTTTTACAAAATAAAATAGAAATGTAAGTAAAAATATTATTATTAATAATAACACTTTCTTCATATATTGTACTAATTCCATACATGGCACGTCCATGTTTCAATCTGAATTTTAGAGATCTATTGAACATGCACTGGCTTTTCCTCTTCTTTCTTGGAGTTTGGTCTAATGTCATTATTTATTGTACTAATTCCATACATGGCACGTCCATGTTTCAATCTGAATTTTAGAGATCTATTGAACATACACTGGCTTTTCCTCTTCTTTCTTGGAGTTTGGTCTAATGTCATTTATTTACTTGCTGATAAATTTGTGAGCTAGGATATATTAGGATCCATGTATTAAGCCGAATTAACTTATTTTGTCACTGTAGCAATTGGTAACAACTCTCTCTATCTCTCTCTACTTGATATATGAAAATTGTTAATAATATCAACATTTTTTAATATTATGCTTGTAATCTTCTCTCTCTCTCTCTGTGAAAGTGCATATTAATTCAAGTTTAATTGTTTTTCAAAGCTCTAGTTTGTCCTTGACCTCAACACCTTTAGGTAATTGAGTTGAATTTGAATTTCTCAGACTTTAACCTCAGCTTGTTTATGTATAATCTCTTTTTTTGTTAGTGATCATAATGTGCAATGTCAAACAAATCAATGCTCTTTATTCTATTAACTCATTGCTTTTGAACAGGTTACTGCATTAATTTTTGTTTTAATGATCGCATCCACTATCCTTATTTGGATTGGTATGGGAAGGAATCCTATTGACTCAGAAGTGGTGGCCCGGGTATGGACTTACTTCTGATTAGTTTTATTGTTGACGCATTAATATTCTCAAGGAATTCATACTGACTTTGTTTTCATGTACTAGTTAGCCAATATTGTTACAATCTGATTGCACACAGCTATTAAATGTTAGATTGGTAAAAAATGATTCCAATGGTAAGAAGTGGGTTTTGAATGGTTTCAAAATGATTTTCAAGTTTTCACCTTGCAAGAAATGCACTTTCCAAGGTTTTTTTTATTTTAATTTTAATTTCTTTTGTAAATTTTAATTTAATAATTAGTTACACAATGGTACAATGGTTGTAATCATGTAGGTATATGTAGATTTTTCTGCCATAGTGATGTGACAACCCTCACCACTGTTTACTGATAAACCACTGATTACTGTTAAACTGAGACTGATTATGATAATTGATTGAATTGACTGAAATTCTGAACTGATTGATTGTCTGTATCTGTTTAAGTGCATTTCTATCTGTTCACGTTTTATGTTTAAACTGCAAATTGAAGGCCTTATCGGCAGCCGAATCTGAAATTGATTAGTGATATGTGTTAATCATAATTTATGTGATTTTATGGCATATTTATTTGAAATGTAATTTGGTATGATTAAATAGATTAAAATAAGTTAAATTACACAAGTTGCATTATTTACAACTTTGCCACTTAGTGGCCCACTTCATGCCATATGTTGAGACTTGAATTATACATTGTTTAGCATCATTTTCTCAGCCATTCCTTGAGTCTTTAGCCGACTAGAGATAGAGAGAGTGAGGAAACTTGAGTTCAACAATTCTAGCTTGGTGATTTGAGGAAATTGAGGGTTGATTGCATGTTTGGACTCCTACACCTAGAATTGGAGACTTAAGGTAGAGATTATACCTTCTTGTTCATGTATTCAAGTTATATGTTGCATGGTTTATGGAAGTCTAGAGATTAAGGTCATGAATTAGCTTAATTTGTTGAATCAAAGCTTAATCTTTGCATGCATGGGTATATTCTTACATTTTGAAGTTGTTCTTCACAAATTTGCCACATGCATGTTCATATTTTGAGTATAGTTCATGATTTTACCATGTTTTTGGAAGAATTAGCTCATTAGAGCATGTAATTGAAGCTTTGAATTGGTTTAAACTCATGCATGTCATGTTTAAGTTATGTTCTTGGAAATTGGTTTGAAACTGAGTTTAATTGAACTACCTTTGGGCTTTGATTTCTCAAATTGATCTTTGAAACATGTTATATTATGAGTTTTGAAGTATTTTTCAGAAAATTAGCCCAAAAGGATCGAATTTGGTATATTGAAACTTGTTTTTGAGCTTGAAGTTCAAATATGGAAATTCCAGATTTTGGACTCACGCTCGAGCGGAGTGACTGGCGCTCGAGCATGAAATTTGTGAATCCAGCACTTTACGATGTTTTACAGCCCGCTCGAGTGGGGTATTGGACACTCGAGCGAGGACTTGTGTCACACGCTCGAGCGGGTATCGAGCGCCCAATCGAGCATGATTTTCACATATCCAATACTTTTGGCATGTTTTACAGTTCGCTCGAGCGGTGTAACTCGCACTCGAGCGGAGTATTTTGTTTGCCTTTACACTCGAGCGGGTAAACCCACGCTCGAGCGGGACCTCTGTTTTTCTGAAAATTTTGAAAATGTTTTTAAAGTACATCTTTGCATCCTCATTCCATCCTAGGCATTCCTAGGCCTAGTTTAAGGCATCTTAATGAGGATATTGATGTAGAACCACACCGAGTCAAGATAGGGATTAAGTTATTATTTTCCCAACTGTGTAGCTTAGTGTGTGTTCACTCTGTAACTGTGTAGGGTTGGCATCCGAGGACGCGTACTAGCTTATCTGTAGCCCAGAACTCTGTGAGTAATAATGTTGTAAAGATATGTTCGAAAATGAATATTTTTTGAATGATCAACTGAACTGTTTTCTGAACTGTTTACTGTTAATTAAATGAATGTTTGTCCTCTATTTTGAATTGTATTGTGGCATCCTTAGCAACTACTGTTACTGTTGCAGAGATTTCTGTCAGTTCCTATATTGGAACTTCTGTTTACTGTTACGATGGCCATTATTGACTTTTCGGTCGTTTAAGACCTACTGTTTACTGTACTGTTCTGCTAATGGATGTACCACATATGACTGTTATGACTGAATGACTGATATATTGATTCAATAAACTGTTTTCGTTACTGTAAGGACATTAATTCTTAACCTCTTTATACATTATGTTATTCATTGGGCTTTAGCTCACTGCTCATATATATATGTAGGTGTACAGGCACCGGACCGTTGCTAGAAGCGTCAGAGTAAACTCCAGTTTTGTCAAGCCAACCACTGTGCCTCATGCGAGGTTCTAAGTCCTTCAAGCTAGGGTTTTTGGGGTGTTTTAGTTTCTCTTTTTTTTTTGTATCTGCTTTGTACTTACTGTATAGACTGAATGATACCGTACTGTACTGTTATGGTAGGGATCCGGTCCCTAACCTGAATATCTGTATATGATGTATGTGTGTACTCTTTTGTTCTGAATGTGTATACATATGAAAAGTCTTTTTGCATACAGACTGTCACAGCTTATTGGACATCTTTTAATTACTGTTTTGGCTTCCTCTAGCCCCTGTACTCTGTATTACTGTATTACTGTTAAGTAGACCTTCGGTAATCTCGGATTACTCTCCGGTTACGGTGCTAAACCCATAGGGACAGGTTTGGGTCGTGACAAGTGACCCTTTTATTAGGAGGAGCATTAGCATGTTATGGTGAGCATTTATTATTGTATCATAATTTTTAGGTGTCTTGTCTATTGCATTTATCATCTAATGCAAAAGTAGTACGAACCTTGTTCACATAAAAGAAAGAGCATGATAGTAGCTTCAATGAACTAGAATTGTGTTTAATTATTGATTGTTTTCTAAGGTACTATGGTTGGTTGAATGGAATTTTTTCTTTGATATTTGGTGTTTTCCTGCTTTTTGATTAGATGTGCTCCCATTGAGATTGACTCAATACCTATTTTTTCTGTGATGAAAATAATTTCATCGTTGGATGATCAAGTCCTATAGAAATTGTTTTAGGGGTAAATTCAAACCAATCCGTAAGTCCCTTTTCCCCTGTTAAAGTTTTTAGTTCATTATCTAGGTACTTTTTTAGCCTTCCAAATATCCCCCCTCCCTCTCTCTGGTCTGGCTCTGTGAGGCTCTCTATGCATTCTAAAACCACCTTTTTCTATGTTGTTGCTGTTGCTTTTGTGCAGTTCTACGGCCTTTATTATTCCACTCTCGAAAATGGAGAGCAACGACTCAGTTCTTTTTAATTATGTTCCTATTCATTTATTTGATTCTATAGTCAATTATGTTTAATCTGTAGCTGGTGTCTCGTAGTGGATTACGGGGATAGGAAATCATCAAGGATGAAAAGGCTTTTACTCAAGAAGGCTGGTTGTCCTAAACAATCAATGGGGTATGGCTTTTGGGACAATCAAGGGGCTAAATCCCTATATTACTTTGTGCAATACTCTTTGACAATGCCTGCAATCGATTCCTAGTGCGGCCTTCTAGCATTTTCCTTTTTAATAAGCCACATAGAGATTGTTTTCCTTGATTAGAGGACATCATATCCATCATTCTTGACAATGTCACCTCCCAACAAAATTTTACACTTTGACCACATCAGATTCTCATGGGGGAGCTATGTTGTTTAAGATGACTTGTGAACTCTTTAACTATTTTTGAAAGTTCAATGGGGGAAGGATGTGGAAGAACTATCTTTTTCCTAGTTTTAAACTTGAAAATACATCATTTGTAGCATGGAGATAATTGGTAATGGAGGCTTAAAATTCTCTTGACTCAGCAGAAGATGAAAGTTATATTCCAACATATGTGAAGTTGGAGAAACCTCAGTCGTACATCCAAAACTAAAAGGTTTAGTTCGTAACTCAAAAGTAACTACCTGCTCTCTCTATTTGTTTTTCTCATGAGAAAAATGAACAGACCCTCCCCCTCTTTAATCCTGGACTTAGATTCTTCACCTGATGACTAAGATTTCTCCCATTTTACTGCTAAAGTTGGAGCCCTAAATTCAGTGAATCATGGTTTAAATGGTGGGGCTGTGGAATAGAACTTTTGCTCATATTTTGTACCCTTTCAATTGTTAAAAAACCTGTATACTATGTATGAAGGTTTCTTGAGTTACTGTTCTCCTTATCTCTTTGAATTGCATGTTTTCTATTAGTTCTTATTCAATGATTTTTATATTCAGGACTCGTATTATTCTTGAAAATGAGGAAAGTAAGATCTGAAAGAGCTTCTTCTGAAATGCGGAAGGTATTGAGTTTATTGTTTTTCTATAAGTTTTCTTTGCTAATGATTTTTAATTATGTAGTTGTTTGTACTAATGACATAATTTTACCTTTTTGTATCTGTGCTGTGTAGTCTACTACAGTCATCCCTCAAAAAATATTATATAAATTATACTGAAGCTCCTTGGTTACTAATGCATTAATGCTTACGATAACTTTATATAATATGCATACATACATGTATAGATATATATTGCTATAATTGCTACTGTAGAGGGCAAAAATCCATTCTAAGAATATGAACAAGATGAATGTTTGAGGTTCTGTGCAGCAGTGATCCTGCAAAACAAATAAGCGGAAAACACCTTGGGCCGGTTGTGGCATGGCCAGCAGCAGTCGGTCAAATAGATTTCTTGGGAAAGAATTCACAGTAGAGAGCTCAAAGTGCCTTACTAATAGATTTCTCATATCTCTCCCCGTTAAAGTCGGGTAATACTTATACATTGTGTGACTTATCCTCTAAGCTCTATAACTACCTCAAGAGAACATGGTGGCACCACTCCTAAAGCATAGTCAACTCCTGTTCCAACTTCCAACATCTTTCTGCAAGCTGCCCACTTTCTTAGTTATTAGGGGGTGATCCCCTAACTGTAGGCATGATCTTCCAACAACCATTATGAGTACCTTTACTCACTATAAGCCACATCTGTCAGCTATCTGTTAATGCCAACCACATGCAATCTCATCAAGTAGCCTCAGAGTTTGTGGGGCTTGTCCCCGGCACACACGTGTCTGGTGCTTAAAATTTCATCTCCCACTGCTACCATTCAAGGATTTTTTTTCTCTCAATTTTTTTTGTCTGTCAAGTAATGGAATTTTTGATGTTCCACTATCAAACGAAGTTGGTTAGTTAAAGAATTTGCAAATAATAGAATTACAAACACTAATTATTAACAGGTTATGTGTTATGTTTCCTAAATATGTGGGGTCTTGATTTATATTGGGTTTGGGGATATTTCTTTTGTTGTATTGGTATTTTTCAATGATTCTTTTTTAGTCCCTAAACTCCAGAATCCTTAACCTTTAGTGAAGTATTGTTTTCTGTGCAGGTTGCAGGCTTGGCAATTGTGTCTGTTCTATGTTTTACTTCAAGTGCTTTGGTTGCTCTTTTTACTGATATACCCGTATGTACTTGTCTGCTGGTCCTTTAATTATCATTTTCAATTCTCCAACTCTCGTTGCGTTGCTTATTACATTTTTCCCCCCTTTAAAAACTTACACGCTTAATCATGCAGATGCTTTATGACTGGAATCATGAGCATGTTGACGGTGTCTATACCTCTCTTCTGCTGATTTTGTATTACTTCATAGGTATTTGTTTTAACTTCTCTCTTCGTGTTTCACATTACTAAGCATTTCGGCCCGTTCGGGGGTCGAAATTGCGAAATGACCACCGGAATCACCGAAACTTGGCATGGACAGCTTGTTCAAGCCTAAACAGACTTGTAGGAACAAACGGGACCTCGATTGGATTTCCAGTTAAAAAATTAGAAGGAAAAATATAAAACACAAGACTTAAATGGCCCGTTCGGGGGTCGAAATTTCGAAATGACCATCGAAACCACCGAAACTTGGCACGGACAGCTTGTTCAAGCCTAAATAGACTTGTAGGAACAAACGGGACCTCAATTGGATCTTCGGTTAGAAAATTAAAAGGAAAATTGTAAAATATAAGACTTAAAAGGCCCGTTCGGGGGCTGAAATTTCGAAATGACCATCGAAACTTGGCACTGACAGCTTGTTCAAGCCTAAATAGACTTATAGGAACAAACGGGACCTCAATTGGATCTCCGGTTAGAAAATTATAAGGAAAATTGTAAAACATAAGACTTAAAAGGCTCATTCGGGGGCTGAAATTGCGAAATGACCACCGAAACCACCGAAACTTGGCATGGACAGCTTGTTCAAGCCTAAATAGACTTGTAGGAACAAACGGGACCTCGATTGGATTACTGGTTAAAAAATTAGAAGGAAAAATATAAAACACAAGACTTAAAAATCCCGTTCGGGGGCTGAAATTTCAAAATGACCACCGAAACAACCGAAACTTGGCACGGATAGCCTTTTCAAGCCTAAATAGACTTGTAAGAATAAATGGGACCTCTATTGGATCTCCGGTTAGAAAATTAGAAGGAAAATTATAATACACAAGACTTAAAAAGCTCGTTCAAGAGTCGAAATTGCGAAATGACAACCGAAACCACCAAAACTTGGCACGGACAGCTTGTTCAAACCTAAATAGACTTGTAGGAACAAACGGGACTTCAATTAGATTTCCGGTTAGAAAATTACAAGAAAAATTGTAAAACACAAGACTTAAAAGGCCCGTTCGGGGGCCGAAATTGTAAAATGGCCACTGAAACCACCGAAACTTGGCACGGGCAACTTGTTCAAGCCTAAATAGACTTGTATGAGCAAACAGCATTCGATTGGACTTCCCGTTAAAAAATTAAAATCAAAATTATGAAGTTCATATTGAGAATTTTTTTTTTTTTTTTGTCAATCTAATATTATTTTTTCTTTTTTCATGTGACAGATTGGCAATGGTGGAAAATAGTTTGGGCTACATCAAAAGATTTGATTTTGTGTTTTTAGAAATATTTTGACATAGGATTTTGGTAAATGATTTATGGATTAAATGTTTAGCATCAAAATATTTGGTGTTGTATTTTTGCAAATATTTTGACATAAGATTTTAGTAAATGACTTGTTGGTTAGATGTTTAGCATCAAAACATTTGGTTGTGTTTTTGAAAATATTTTGACATAGGATTTGGTAATGTATTTATAGGTTTGATGTTAATAGTTTGTAAGTACTTTGGTATGCATGTTTTAGATTGCCAGAGAATTGTAATTATGTTTATTGAGATTTTTTATAGCTATTAATTTTGAATTATTATGAATGTCTTGAACAGGTGTATTATTATTTACATTACATTTATGTATATATTGTGCACAGGAAAACAGGTATTTTGGATTATTTTGAACATGAAAATTATTGAAATCAAAATTTGTGTAGTGAATTTTTAGTGATAAGTGGTATTTTGGTCGCTGTTAATATATTTGGCGACAACATATTGTTTTTGTCGCTAAAAGTTAGTGGTTATTCCAAGAACTTTTAGCAACCAAAACTTACTCGTCGCTAAAAACGTGATTTTTAGCGACCAAATTAATTTCGTCGTTAAATAGTACTTTTGGCGACGCATTTATTTGTCCCTAAAACTACATAGCCTATCCAAATTTTAACCTTTTAGCGACAAACTGTAATTTTATAGCAACAAAATATATGATTTTTGGCGACCAATTTTGCTTGTCACTAACTGTCTACATACGGTGACAATTTCTGATTTCATCGCCAATACTTTTAGTGACAGGCCTTTGGCGACCAATTGTATACTTGTCGCCGATTCTTTCGGTGACGAAATTTGTACTTTTGGCGACCAATTTTTGGGTCGCCAAATGTGTTTTTTGTTGTAGTGATTGAGCATGAAAAATATGATCCATGTAAAATTGTGGCTAGAATCCATGCTTGTGACCATCATTTGTACAATTTGAGTTGAAATGGAAGTTATATCTCACATGCATGTACCATTCATAAGAGGTATGAGCTTGAATGCATGAAATTGTTATGTTGAAAGTGAATTTGGTATAGATTGGGACATGCATGTGATTAATTTGTGAAATTAAGCTCCATTGTGTTGTAATTTAGTGTTTGTACCATGTTAGTACATATATATATGAAGTTTGAGCCAAAATTATGAGTTTGGAACCTTTGGAGGTCGAATTAAGCTCAAGAACAAATTCTGGAAAACCCAGAATTCTTGATGTCCACTCGAGCGGGGAAACCGCCGCTCGAGCGTGAATTACGAGCTCCCAGCATATTTTGCAGACATAGTGTCCGCTCGAGTGAGGAAGTTCACGCTCGAGTGGGGAGCTATGTAGATAGATCTTTAGCTCGAGCGGCTGGGTTGGCACTTGAGCGTGAAATGGATGTAACTAGTACTTTTGTAGACCTTATGGGTCCGCTCGAGCGGGGACCCTGTTTTCTAAAATTTTGAAAAGGGCTTCTGTGTTTCGTTTTCTGTTCTCTTTCACTCCTAAGTACTCTTAGGCATACATTGAGCATTGTAATTGAGTTAAAGAGATAAGAATGAAGCCTAATGAGGAATATGTGAATTAAAGAATGGATTGAATCGTTTGTGACTCATATGTGCTATATGATGTGTAGGGTCAAGCTCCAGGGCAAATCCACAAGCCGATCACTGTGAGTAATGTCTTAACAAGATATATGAGATATGTTATTGTCCAATTGTTTACTTCTATGTAAGTTTTGTAAGTTCATTAATTTGAATGGTGGATAACGATTGACATAAATGATTGGGCTAAAGGCCGATTGACATGAATGATTGGGCCAAAGGCCGATTCACATAAATGATTGGGCCAAAGGCCAATTGACATGAATGATTGGGCCAAAGGCCGATTGACATGAATGATTGGGCCGAAGGCTGATTGACATAAACGATTAGGCCGAAGGCCGATTGACATAAACGATTGGGCCGAAGGCCGATTGATATAAACGATTGGGCCGAAGGCCGATTGAAATAAATGATTGGGCCGAAGGCTAATTGATACAAGTGATTGGGCCAAAGGCTGTCTGTTGTAATTGTTTCAAAGATTACTTATGTATCTTCCTTATTGATATTATTCACTGGGCTTTCGCTCACGCTCATTCATGTACATGTAGGTGAGCCAAGGGACGTCCAGAACTAGTCTCGGTGAAATTGTGAGAAACAGTCAGAGTTTTGAGGAGTCAGCCCAAACGTCTCACACACGAGACTGTCTTCGCATTTTTGAGGAGTCAGCCCAAACGTCTCACACACGAGACTGTCTTCGCATTTGTCCTTTGTTCATAGTTTTGTTATGTTGGCGAAAGCAATGGACTACTTTTGTATATAAGTCTTGGGTTTGACTAACTTAAACTTGTATGATCCTGTATGTACAGTGTTCTGTGTTAGTACACATTTCGATGTGAGTTATTAACATATGAATGTTTGGAATGTTATGGTGTGCATATAAGCACAGCTCTATGGATAAAGTTTTAAATTTGCTTCCGTTTGGCCCCTTTACTCTGATGAGTTTTGTTTATTTGGTTTGAGGCCGTAGGTAATCTCGTGATTATTGGCCGGTTATGGCCTTAACCCATAGGGGCGGGTTCGGATCGTGACACATGTAGTAGCTTCTTCTCCAATTTTTTTTTCCTATTATTCCAATCAAACCATTCCAAATTCCCAATTAGCAATTTATTAAGAATAATAAATGAACAAGTAAGGTATATTTAAAACAATTGCAGACATAGAAGAACCAGTTCCAAGTTACCATTGGAATTCCGTTTCTTAATGTTAACCACAACAGCAGCTCTATTGTCCCAAATCCACTTGAAATCTACGGCTGCTTTCCATTGAGGTTTCACAACTGAACCCAAAATAACAAAAACAAAGTTAAACACCAAACAAAGAAGAAACACTCTGCTTGGTTAGATGCTAATAGAAGCAAAAAATTCTTCAATGCCACTACCTTTTTCGTTGGGGATTAAAGAGGGATTGGTTTGGATGGTCGTCTTTCCGCCCAAGCCCAAGCAGCATTGCAAGTGCAATCCCATCGCTTCAGCCTGTGACACTGTTTTTGTACTTAGAGACTGCTCTTCTTCCACCGATTTTATCATGTTTTTGTTTTTGTTTTAAATTTTTTGAAAAAGGAATGCTACATCCGCCTAATTTGATGTGGCCCGAATTGTTTGAATTTGTTCATATCGGTCATTTGGATGATACGATAACGAGCAAAGAAGACAAGAGTGATGAGCGCGATAGACAATGGTGAAGCTGGTCATCTAAGCAATCGTCTATGAGAGGGAGATTTCTGTAATCTTGGCTTGGGTCGCGGTTCTGGCCAGGCTGAAAGTGGTCCAAGCATATTTGGACCGAGCTGGGCTAAGCCGTGCCGAGAGGAAGCTTGATCGACCGAAGTCCAGACCAGAGTTGGTCGAGATGATCCTCTGCCAGCTTGTCTTTTCTTGTTCGCTCGTTTTAGCTCGGTGATCATGATCTGCCGCAGACCGGCCTAACTTGGCTGGAGCACAGTTGCACCAGAGTGCTGCTGAGCTCGGTAGTGATGGTGCTCGGTGAGGAGTATTGTTGGGCTTGTTAGGTAGCACGATCGAAGGAGGTCGGGATGGTGCTACCGGGCTGTCCGTTCCCGCTAATGTTGTCTGGCGGTTTGATTAGGTGGTGTTTAGCTAGATTTGCGCTGACAGATGAGAGAGCAGCTCCACGTGTCAATAGACGA